CTGCTGAAGAAAATAAATATTTGCTAGAGATGAACTGGCTGCTTTAGCATTTCACAAGATTGGATGACAGTGAACATATTTAGTCATTTCAGTTTTAGAGAGTTCCAAGTGAATAGGACACTTCATAAAAGACTATCTTAACCTATTTTACCTTTCTATTCAATGTAATTCCACAAATACAAAAAAAAAAAAAAAAAAAAAAAAAAAAAAAAAAAAAAAATTCTTTCTCAATGTCTCTGTTCTCTTCTCTGCATTTTACAAATATTTTGACTACCAGCTTGAAATTATTGGGATTTAGAAAATAAAATAGAAATACTATCTACATATAAGCAGAGAATAATCATGTAGCCAGTGGGCAGGATGGGCATCCAGGCTGGCTACATTCTTTTGCTGATTCTGCTACTGAATAACATGTCTTTGCGCAAACCACCTAGTCCCCATTTTAAAAACAGAGACAATGGTAAGACATGAATACTGCAAAACCATTGTTCAACATGACACTGGCGGACTCTCATTAATAAAAACATTACACTAGACTTCAGTAATTCTTTCTCAAGGTCTCATCTATACAAAAACACTCTGAAAAATGAATCTGAATGGATGAAATGGCATAAAACCTGAGGGCACATTCACAGTGAAGGGCTTTGCATCATTTTATCTAAATGACAAAATAAAATGTGTTTTCATTCCGAATGTCCATACAGAGATTGCATGAAGTTTAAACAATCCATTCTAAATGTGAATTGAGATTCATTCTCCTGCAGAAAAATACAAAAGGGAAATTCTGACTAGATGTAAGAAAAAAAAGAAAGAAAAAAAAAATTGAGAAAGTGGTTAAGTACTGAAATGGCCTAGAGAGGAACATCCGTCTTAGTGATATATATAAAACTCATCTGAATCTAACTTTGAAGTTAGCTTTCCCCTGAGCAAGTGGCTGGAGAAGATGACCTCCAAAGGGCCCTTCCAGCCTAAACCCTTTCTACATTCGTCAGTTCACAAAAATCTTAATAGAGAACTGGCGAAGCTACATTAAAGATTAAACACATCTACTTCAAAAAAAGTTTCTTTCAGACCAAACTTCTTGCACACAAATTCAATTTTACCTGCACTTCTCTTCCAGGGAAATTCATCAATTCTCTACTTAACTTTGGATGTGCTGGAAACTGAATGCCTTGTATTGTCCAGAAGACACTGGGAGTCTTGTGAACACAGTGACCTCTATTCCATGGCAAGTAACAGCACCCAGGCAGACTTACATGTCACTAGTGCATTAACCTGATCTTCATCTGAACTGCCCAGAAATTTCTGTGTCACAAAATCTACAAGTAAAGACTAGGCCTTAATATGGCTCAGTATAAAATAAAATCTATTGAATTCTAGAATTGTTAATCATAAGCTAAAGGTTTGGAAAAGGCTTGATTTCTTAAATAAGCGCAGCTTTATTTAACTAGTTGCATCGAAGGAGCCACACTACACATTCCGCTGCTGGTAGCAGCACTGATGTTTTAAGAATAATTTGCTGAGAGCAGAAAGGTACAAAAAGCTATTTTTTAAAGCATATTCCTAATACACTAGCCAGAAAGACCAGTGTTGTATTTTGTCAGTTTTCTGTCATAGTCTTTGTGGCATGACAATGTGAAATATTGGTAGTGTCAGTATATACGTGATATATAGCAATACTTGTCCTTTGTTGTTACAGTCCAATGATGTAGTCTGGGATAAGAACTACCAGTCTAAAACTTTACTTAAACAAGGGAGCAGTGGTACTGCCACGCAGGAGAGAGCAGGAAGGCCGGAGGAGAGGGAAAAGGAGAGGAATGTACTCTTTCTATTAAGGTGGGGAAAAGGAATGGAAGAAAAGGTCCATTCACCTTCTGATGAAGATTTATGTAGCCATGCGTATCTCTGGCATCCTAAGTTCCCTAGCTAGCTAGTATTATATTACTGCAAGTAAGTATTAGAATGACTGAGAATGCTGCTTTAGTTTTCCACTGTCTACCCAGTTGTGCAGTCTAAGAATTAAAATAAAGGCTCTTGTGGAGGGAGATCCCATTTTATCTGAACACATATTTTGAGCGGTACCAGATTAAACATTCTATTAATGAGTACATTTGTTATTCTTAGAAGTACTGAACATTAAAAGGAGGCAACGTTTCTATGATCACCTACATTCAATTAAAGCCAGTGAAAATAACATCATAATCAAGTATTCTTTTTTCCTCTCAGGACTTTGGGCAGTGTAAGATTATCACACATACAAGCCAGCTGCTGAAGAAACCTCAGCTATATGGATTTAATTGTACATTAAGTCCAGGTAAAAGAACCACTGTTGTAAGCCAATGCATACCTCAAACCAGGCCTCATACCAAATTACAAGTCTGTGCACTACCAGTGTATGGTAACCGTAGCAGATTTGTTCATCTGCTTGCAATTCCTATTTTAGATAATTCAAACGGAATGTTAAGAATGAGTAATAGAATTAAGGTTACCCTACTCTTCTAAAGCAGGCTTTATTAATGTTGTATGATATCACCATTCCAGTCTGCCAAAACATGATAATGAATATCAGAAAAAAAAAGTAAACTTGGAAAGAATGTCTGTTTTGAGTGGTAAGATTCTGAGCTGGAGCTAAAAGATTTATAAGAATATTCATTTTCACAAGGTTTTGTTTGTTTGTTTGTTTTTGTGGGTTTTTGTTTTTGTTTTTTGGGGTTTTTTTTACATGTTACAGGACAAATCCATATTTGTGAAGTGAGGGATAGTTATTTCACTTCCAAGGAAACACTGGCATTTCAGTTTCTCATTATGACTTCCCACTAAAGGCACATGCACACTCCCAAGAGTATTAACATCCATTGTAACATTGGTAAATTCTCGGTTTTCACAGTTCCTCCTGATTTATTAGAGTGCAAAGATTGTCCTGTGAAAATTGAAATCTTAGAAGTCACTGAGCAACATACAAATATTGCTGAAAAGGCCCTGAAGAAATTCAACAGTGAGGGTAACCACACAAACTACTTCAATGTGGACAAAGTTGAAAAGATTTTAAAGATGGTAAGTGGTATTGTCCTGGAACTATTTATAAACAACATTTTGTGAGCAGCTCCAAAACCAGGAGACCAGAACTCAAACACTTCTAGGATCAGAACTATTGCTTGTCATCTCTCAGAGTAAATAATCTGATTTAAATGGAAGGTCCTATTTCTGCAAAGACTTGCTATCAACTTTAATTTAAGGACATGAAAGCAAAAGGATCTCTCACCAGCTAAAAACTACAGCAGTGTGTTGCCATCCAAAATGTCTCTGGCCTTCTTTCTGTGCACATTTTTATTCTCAATGCCTACTCACCTGTCATGTCATAACATAGGAGTTTACTACTGACCAGAGTTCTTCAAGGTGTACAGTCATTTGTATTTTCACAGTCACATATTTGTCAGCTGATATCAGATCATTTTTTACTCTTAGACTATTTAGCACATTGGTACAACACAAAGTGGAACACGCTCAGCATCATTTTGAGTTTCTGCTGCAGAGCAGGGCAGCACTCTGAGAGCTATGAAGGACAGCAGGTAAATTGGTATCTGCTCTGTACTTACTGAAGAGCTACAGGCTCTGGTAAATAACTCCTCCATCTTTGAGTGATGTTGACATGAAGACTTATCCTTTGGGTGATTTGAAGTATAACTCTCACATCACCACAATTTCTTGTTGGTGGATACTGGAGACCTTCACTTAAACAGCACAGGGTCATTCTGCCAACATGTGTCAGTTCAGCACACCTCTGTAATGAGGTTATGTGGCCCCTACCATGATAAATGTTGATCCTGGAAGCTGCCAAAATTACAGCATGCCAACCCCACCACCCTGCAGCTGTTAATATTGCGCAGAAACTGGACAGTGTTCTACACTGCAGTCCCCAGGCAGGACATAGTGCTAATCCTGTTTAGTCTGTGGCTGGTTTTAGATTCCCTGGATTCATGGATTTCTCTCCTAAATACTTTGTTTTCACACTACTCTGTCTTTAGCTACAATGCCAATTTAGAATATACTGCTAGATTTCAGCTGACTGCATAACACTTAGAAACTATAAATTATGATAAAATAATATACCCTAAAGTATGTGCACCCACTTTTAACCAATTAATGAAACTAGTGTGCACACACGTGTTGTGGACACCTCCAATGCAGACTTGAAATAAACTACTACTACAGCTGGAAATTAAAAAGGAACACCTCCCTATGGATTCTAATAGGATCACAAAGGCCTTCTCCCAGTGTTTTTATGGAGTCGTGCCCTCTCTCCGAATAATGACACTGACAACAGAGACAGCAACAATCTCACAACAAATGGCAGAATTCCATGCACAAATTAATCTCAGCACTGTAGTACTATGTATTCCCATCACCGGAAACGGGTGGTTGCCACCCAGTAGGTCTCTGTATTTTCAGAGGAGAAGCAGTTCAGTGTAGGGAGAACACTCTAAGGATGCTACTTCCTAAAAACACAGGCTGTAAAAGTAGCAGGTTTTATAACATACACATACTAGACAAAGAAATAAAGCAACCATTCCTGGAACTTGTAAAGGTGTCAGGCAAGTAAGGTATAAATTACCTAATCTATTTTCCTTACTGAATACATGTATATGTATGAACATTTGAACAGCACAGGTAATGAAAGCATCAGGTACACAGGATTTTGACAACAATGTGAAGTATGGTTGCCTTTGAAATTACAGGATTTTTTTTTTTACTTTAAATACACCTAGCTACCATTTCTTGTTTGACCTCTTGGTTTCAGACTGCCTCCCGTAAAGGTCACGTTTTAGAATTCTCTATAAGAGAGACCAACTGTTCCAAATCCACACAAGAAGCAGATCAGGCATTGGAATGTGATTTTCTGCACGACTGGCACGCTGTAAGTAAAGTCTTACAATGAGAACTGATGCAATGGGTGGCACCAGGAAGATCTTCCCACAATATTTCCAAGTGTTTCTTAGGAGCATGCATCCAAACTCAAAATTAAAAATCCAGCATGTCCAAGTCCAGATCCTAATTTTACAGCTGCTTCTTTTTATTCTCTAAGGAGCCAATATGAACTCTCAAATCTAAATGTAACTAGAGTCTGGCATATTACAGACCTAGAGCTGAACTCTTCAGTTTGGATCTGGCTTTCATATTCAAGTTGAGGTCACTTCCTAGTAAATCATTCATGCTATTTTTATAAAGAGTTTTACATTAATGTGAGTCATAGAACCTGAAAAAAAACCCCACATATTATTATGTCATCCCAGTGAGCCCAGGGTTACTTGTTTGTTTGGTTGGTTTTTTTCCTCTGCTTCAGGGGAATGGAAAGCAAAATAATTCAGGCTTGTTTACAGATGATTATGAAAGTACTCTCCTCATCCCACCTTCCCATTACAACAGCAGTCTTCACCAAAGAAACAACTAGGCAAGATCACAAGTTTAGAATAAATTATTCCCCAGAAATGAAATTGACGGAATGAAATAAAAATATTGAAGAACAAAACAAAACATGTAGAACTTTTGATTTACCTACACCTATTTTCTTCTCTGTCTCTATATACTCCAAAAGACTGGAAAAGGTTGTGAATGAACTGGTAGTGGAGAGAAAAGTTCCCTAGAACCAAGCCCAAGCCAGACAGCGAGAGGTTTTGAATTCTCTTCTCAATGCTGCCATCACTGGGGTGTGCGTGTATAAAATACTACTAACTTTTGTAATCATTGATCATAATAGGCTACTAACTGCCCAAACATAAATCAAGATAAAGCATTTGCTACAGAGAGCCCACACAGAACCTCTTAAGCTCTGTGCTCTTTCACAGTTCCACAGAAAACAACAGGATAGCAGGTGAAAGTCACAGCAAGCAGGATACTAAGGGAAGAAATGCTAGAAGATAAAAAAAAATTCCTTTTCAGTACATAAATATGGAACAAACCTTGACCTTAAGCACTGTCTGAAACAATATAGCTACACAGGATCTGGTTTTGTGGCCTTTGAGCAAAATTTCAGAGTAGCCCAATCTGAACAGATGATTGACAAGCAAAGACAGAAAAAAAGGAATAAAAATCAGCCACTCACAGAGAATTAGTTTTGGAGACAACAGTAGCCAACCAGCTTCTTGCAGGTATCAGAAGAAGACTAGGATGGAGATTAGTAGGCCTCTAGAAGCACATGGCAAAGTGGTCTTTGCAGTTGGGAACGCTCAAAACCGACATATATTTTAATCATTATTAATCGGTGTCAAGGATGACTGATCAGAAAGCTCAGGATCTAGCTACGTTATGTAAACATACTTGGGCATCGAAGGCACTCGCCTAACTTTCAAAATGCTGAACTTTCAGTAGCTTCTGTTAACTCCACCACATGAACCCAGGTGTGTGTTGGTTTTTCTCTTTTCTTTTGTTTAGCGCGTGGGATTCTGCAAGGCAAGAATTATCAGTGAGCCAGATGAACCTGATGGAACCGATATAAGCTGTGAGATCTACCAGCCCTGGGTACGTGCTCACCTACTGAAAGGTCTCTGGTCATAACCTCATGCAGGCTACAGCAACCTCACTTAGTCCAGACTGACAGAGGACTGCAACAGTTCTTTATGTCCCTTTGTTACTGCCTGGTTGTGATGCACCACGTCAGGACAGTACCTTCAGACTGCCAGGTCAACCAGAGAATGAGATGGAATTGAGCTGTCCCCATTACTCCCTCCAAGGATGTCTTCTCTCAGTCCAATCACACTCATTAGTTAAAGTGAGTAGAGTTTGGCAAACAAGTAAAAATGAATTTTAGAAAGCAAGAGGAGGGGAGAAGATCTTTACCATGTCTGGTATTCCAGTTGGTATTTCAACAGCTACTCCAGTGTCGTGTTTATTTTATTGTGACCTCTCCCAACTTTTGCTCAGTTAGTTATAACATTTTGGTTTGTTATGGTGTAGTATTTCCAGATGATTTTCAGTATTCTGGCACTTTACTGTCTGTTCCTTCTCTTCTATCTTGAAAAAACCACAGAGGTTTCTTCCAGATCACCAGAAAGGGAAATTCAAACCGACTAATTCCTACCTCTCTCTCTTTCTCACTACTTTCTTTTGTCCTATTAACACGTCACTTAATGCTTCCTCCCTTGGTGTTTTTCTGAACAGCAGCATGACTACGGGCAAAGATGCAGATATTCAAACCTGGGATGGCCACATAGACATCCCCATCATCACTGTGGGCACAAACATCATCACAAGCATCATCACAAGCATGGATGTCCACGTTCTTCTCAATCCAGACCTGAAGATGCTGAACAGAACCATAGTTCCAACGAAGAACGTCAATACAACTATGAAGGACCTGCTCTTCCTCCTCCTCACCATGGTGGACCACATCACCACCTTCGCTGTCCACATCACTGTCCTCCACATCCTCCCCACTGTGGACCACATCACCACCCTCCTCCTTCTCCCCATGATGGGCTACATCCTCCTCCCCAAGAGCAATCAGAACATCCCCCTTCTGCTCCTCCTCCCCATGATGAACCATATCATCCTCCTCCTTCCCAAGAGGAATTACATCATCTCCCTTCTCCTCCTCCTCTCCATGATGAACCACATCATCCTCCTTTTGATCACCATCATGGATCACACTGTCCTCCTCCCTCTCCTCATAGACCACATCACCACAATCCCCCTTCCCCACATGGATCACACTGTCCTCCTCCCCCTCCTCATGGGCCACATCACCATCATCCTCCTTCCCACTGTGGACCACATCACCCTCCTACTTCAGGACACTCTCCTCATTGTCATCTCCCTCATCACCATTACAGACATCACTGCAACAAGAAAAGCATATCAGGAAAGTGCTCTCCCTTCCAAATACCAGGAGCTATGTATCGCATTCCAGTCCTAAATCAGCAGGATTCTCTCACACCTCCCACTGCAAACTTTCCTGAGCTATTTCGAAGCACTCCCCACTCCTCCAGCACTAATGAAGGTACTCCCTTCACCAGCCCAAGTCTAAAGGAGATGCTAGAAGCTCTGGAGTTTCCAGATCACCCTTCACAAACAAAGTCATGCCCAGGAACCCCCAAACTTGTTCTTCCAAATATTTTGCCTTTATTTCCACATAGCTCCATGGCAGAAAATTCTCCTGCATGACCTCAGAGAAAGATCTTCCTGGCTTGAGAGTTGCAGGGACAATAGCAGCTGTATAAGCTGTAAAATGAACGAGAACAGCACATGGAGAAGGGGGAAAAGCATATAATTCCTATGGAAGAGAAGCACAGAAAACAATGATTAAGACAAGTATTGCAGTTTGCCTCTTGATCCTAGCCGTCTCAGACTCCACTGTAACTGAAACGCTCAAAATTCTGAATCCTTCAGATAGAGCAAATGGGTACAAATCTCACCAGCAAACAATGCTCCTTTAGTTCTAAAAAAAAGGAAAGTTCCCTAATAGTGAAATCTTTCATTTTCTCATCATTAATAATTACAAAGTACTTCTCTGAGGAAATCTGACCTAGAGGAAATTTGACCGCCTTCCATAAAAAAATCATGCATGGCACTACATTCATGCTTTATAAAGATTCAAAGAAAATAAAAATATGTACACTTTTTTTCTTGTCACAGCCACCAAAGCTTTGTCTTTTTTATTCTTATGTATGTTTAGCTGCACAATAAACATCCACAAGGCATACTCTAGCATATCACATTTTCTGTGATAAATTGACTAATGGTGGTTGAGTTACCATCATTACCTAATAAAGCTCTGAGAATAGTTAATGACTTGTATCGCAACACTGCAGGGGGGCCTGCAAAGGTACTTCCATTGCACAGTTGCTGGCTGTGATATACCAGAAATACTGCAACAAGGACAGCCCTTTTCAAGTAGCTCATAATTGCTCTCAGGGGAGGAGAAAAGCAGATGCATGTAATAACTCCTTCATGTAAATATTTTTTTAATCACTGAACCTTCCTCACTGGAAACTGAGTTGGGAGGAGCAGGAAGAAAGGAAACTATACTTTAGCCCCCATCAAGGTAAAGTCCATTCAGATAAACCTAGGATCCCAATGAAGTAGTTTAGAACAGTTATGTCATAAGAAAGGACACGGGATTAATCTCAAAAAGTTAGTAATTTCATCCTCAACGTAGCTTTGTAATGGAATAAATTAAAGCACAGTGTGAGGGATATGTTGAAGAAAAAGAAACAAAATGGGGACAGTATTTTGTGTAACTGAGTGAAGGTTTTCTAATTTTTACAAGTGCATTATCATGTATGAATTATCTTATTTCTGGCATAGTTTATCCACAAAGTCCCTAAAGTGAATTTTCTTTAACCAAAAGCAAAGGCAATCCCAAGGTGTTCACATACTCCAAGCACAGCTATTTGGTGCTTAGCACTGGAGACAAGCACCAGATGTTTCCAGCCAGCTTTAATTCTGGCTCTGCCAGACAGGCAGCATTACTTCATCCCTCGTTCTTGGATATCACTTTCCCTGTCTGTAATGCTAACAAAACATTCTGAAGACTGACTAATCCATGGTCCAAAGGCAGTCTCCACATGGCAGCAAAGATGGACACTTCCAACAGCAGCATGAAGGACAAGGTTTATCAAGTGTTATTGAAGATTTATGTGACATCCAATGATATGCATCTGTCCAGACTTTTTTCAAACATGTTCTGACTTCTCAGAACTGTTGAAGTCTGAACACTAAGAAGACCTATTAAATTTACAGGGTTGTTGTCCGGAACCAAAACTTCATTGCCACTGTGACCTTCTTGAGTATTTTATTAAAGCCTTCTAAAATTCATTCTTGGTAGCAGTTTAGATACTAAGAAGCCAGAAAGTTACAAATATTCTGCTTTCTCTTCTTCTCTGGAGCCATCCTGCTTAGTCAAACCTGTCCCCAGCTGCAGCTATTAGCTTGTTATCTTGATGGCAGGTGGATGACCTTAGTGTCATTCTAGTGACCACACAAAGTTTGTTTAGATAAACTCAGAAGTTTATTTGCAGTATAAACAAGGTATGACGAGAACCAACCAACCCCAGAAATCCGCTCACTCTGTTTACGTAGCTATTGCTTCTGAAAAACAGAAGAGGTGACTAAAACTCAGTCAGGCATTCCTTTTCCATTTGGTTTTTTAAGCGGCTTCTAATTCAGGGGCCTTTTTCGTCCAATTATGAAACTTTTCATTGTACTAGCACTCTGCTGTAGTTTTTTCTCAGTCAGAGCCAGCCCTCTTCCATTTGAGTTTTTGAACTGTGATGACCCTGATGTCTTTAAAGCTGTCGACACAGCATTGAAGAAATACAATGGAGACAGAGCAACTGGTAACCAGTTTGCTCTGTACATGGTGATGGAAGCCAAGAGAACTGTAAGTAGACTTTGGGAAAAAAAAGTTGGAATTGTTTATGCACTCTGAATCAGATTATCTTCATCTTGTTCATAAGAGAGTACGCATGACAGTAATGTGTCCTCCAAAAATGTTTTAAAAAATCAAAGAAATGACTTGTACAGTAAGATACTTGTTACCATGACAAGCAAGGATGTATATTCTTATCAACAGGACTTGGTGTGCCGGTGAATTGCTTATTAATGCAAGGACTAAAGAATAGAAAATTTCTGATACAATTTGTCTGTCTAGTTCACTCTGTTTTCTCCTTTCTCTGTCGGGAATTCTACCCTTTTCCATCTTCGATAAGGTTTTCAGATCAATGGAAAAAAAAACCAAAACCTTACTAAAACCCCTGAATATTGTCTTGACTTGGGAAGAACCTGTATCACACATAAAAAAGAATGACCTGTTAAAATTTGGCAGTACTCTGAATAAATTGTTTGTGAATATTATTTGATTGACACTAGTCCTGAGTCACAGATGTATCTAAAAGCACTAGGTGGTATTTTAGTCAAACAAGGTGAAAGAAAAAAAGAATGACACATGATCCTTTGCCTGGAGTCCTTCTGTATAACCCTTAATCTAACAAAAGAGTATTTACCTCTGAGAGGCATACAAAGATGATATTACCATAATAATGACAAGCACTGCTTTACTTGAAAACATTAGCATTTTTTTCTACTGAATTGGATTTTCAGATATAAACCATAAGAAACCCAGTGCCGGAGAGAACATCTTGCACCTCAAAATCACAAGACACTTTTCCCCAGATAGAAATCAGCCTCAGAAAGGGGACAAAAATTGCTGAACACCTGAAACTACCCACATCTTCCTGCACCTACCCTCCGGTTTTCCTGTTTTCAAATTGGGGAGATTTTAGCATGTGGTGACTAAGACTAATATCTGGCAAAGCTTTTGTACAATTAATATTAAACAAATGAATAGTCCCATGGTCTTCACTGAGCTACACACATTCTTAACAACAGCCAAATGCAAACATCTTTATATCAGAGCTGTAGAACTACCTTCATTTTGCTGATGTTCCCAAAGGACAGATATTAGTTTCAGTATTTTTTCTTAAACAATGTTCTATTTTTAAGAATACATATTTATTGCAATTATTATCCAACTTTCCTTCCCTAGATATCTGTCTTTCCTTTTCTTAAAAGACTCGAGGTGGAAATCAATTACTTTGAATTGTCAATCTGACTATGATATTAAGTAAAAAACAGAGAAAAGGAATATGCAGTAGAAATTTCCTCATATTCTATATTCTTTTTCTAAAAAGAGTATAGATTTTACTCATTGCTCATCTCACAATGCTGAATACATGAATTAAATAGCTGGTTATTACATATGCATGTACATTTATTATTGATAAGGTAATAAAACATAAAAGCTGCCTGGTGGAAGACTGATCCTGCCCCAATTAAAGGCATAGCTGTTCGTAATAATAATGACATAAAACAACAATAAATAACATAGAGAAACAATGTCTTTTCTCACATATTTTTTTACTTACTGAGCTGATTTATTGTACCCATCCCAGAGAGCATATTCTGATGCAGCTCCATAAATGCCAATTTATACCTGCTGAAGATTAAATCCATTATATTTTTAGAGACCCTTTTATCCTGTTTTACAGCCTGCAACTATTATATCAGGTACCTCTACACCTCCTCATAGTTGTATCAATACACAATAGGAATTGAGAGAACACAGAAAATAATTGTACACCAGCATAAGTCCAGTGTATTCCACCCACACCAGCTCAGCTTCACTTTCTTGGTACCACTAAGGCAAGAAATTCTCCCAGCAGTATCACTTGAGGATAACCAGTGTTAAAGTACAGCAACTGCCTGTGTTTGTATTTGAAAAGACACTTTGGCAGAGAATTTTTAGTGGCTGTAAAAGATCAGTAACTTCTGGCTTTATATCTCCTCTGAAGGGTGAACCACAAACCTTGCAATGTATTAATGGTACCTGTAGGCACAGGCTCATTATTCAGTTTATAGCAAGGAGAAAATGTCCCCTACTGATGCACCAACATCAGCAACACTTCCACTGGCCAGGCCAAACGTTGCTTAATACTTTGTATCTCACCTTAAGGGATTCCTGAGGCTACCCTCAGGATCAGCTCAGCCTTTTAAGGATGATGGGAAATCCAAAGGCTGTGTCCAAAGCATACACTCCCTCGGCCTGTCACCCCAGCAGGCAGGGCAGCCTAAGTGCCCTGTTACCAGAGAGTAAAGGCAGTGTGGGCACTGCCAGGCTGCCCAAGGGCTGCTGGCTGCTCTTCCCAGGCTGCCTGCAGAGCTGTGCAGAAGGAAAGAAGACAGATCTGGGAGAAGGCCAAGAGTGAGAGTGAGGAAGTCACACAGGAGCACAGTCCAAGCTGGTAATTATGCTAGCTATTCAAGGAGCAATCCAAATTTGCTTATTGGGAGTACATTTGAATATGAGTATAAAACCTATCCACTTCTTTCTGTTTTTAAAACCCTTGGTACTACAAGCTAAAATGGAGGCAGTTGAGCATACTGTATCTGTTGTATCAGCCTACTGTAATTCTGGTAACAGCTCAGTAATATAATTAGATAAGTTAATTAGTGAACTATCCAGATTTAGGAGAACAGTAGCTAGTCTGAAAGCACACTATAAAATATAAGGTAACCAATGGATAGTATTTACCTTTTGAAGCTCTTATCTCTGCACTTGATTTATTACTATGCAAATGATGGCATGCATGTTGTTTTTATCTAGGCAGGTCCTGACACACAATTCTATGTGAAATATCGAATACATGAAACCACTTGTGCCACTGAGGAAAACAGACTCTGGCGAGACTGTGATTACAAAGTACCTGCAGAGGCTGTAAGTATCCGTCCTCTTTAAAAGTGCTCTGTACAGAAACATCAGCATAATGACCAAGACTGTAGTCACTTGGGGAAAAATACAGTAGATAATTTAACTGGTTTTAGCAGTGATGCTTTTGAGATCTTATAGGACTGAAGTAGAGTACACAAATGTTTACAACACTGAACTTAACCATTATAATTGTGTTTACTGTTATAATCCTGAATATGCATGGAGGGGAACAATTCAATGCTTCAATGTGAAGTTTCACAATCAATTCAACGTAAGATACATGCACTGTGAGAGTATGAGGGCTGTAAAACTTTCTGTGAACTATATGGCATGGAAAATTCCACAAACAAATTGACTTCAGACCTGCACCAACAAAAATATTGACAAGGAAGCCACTACTGCAGAAAATTTATCAGAGGGCTTTTAGCAGTACCAAGCATGTCTGGCTCACGCTGCGAGGGAGCACCTGCAGGAGGTACCACTGGGGGGCACACAGCATGCAGGAACACCACACATCCCCAGGGGAAGCCACTGTTCACCCAGTCCACAATGCAAAGAAAGGGATGATGGTGAAAGAATCACTTGAATCAATGTGAAATGCCATGGTCATTACTGCATTTCTAGTGCTAGCAGAAAGAAAATTAGGTAACACAATTTGTACAGACTTTCTCTATGAAGATGTGTTCATTACCACTATTCTGACTGTAAATTTTTTAATTCATTAATATGCATCAATCACAATACAAAGCAATCTTTCAAATTATCTGCTCAGTTCATTCCCAACTCCCCTCACAATCAATAAAACTGTTCTTTTTCCAGGAACAAAAGAGCAAATTAGCCACCACTACAAACGTACATATGAACTTATTCCCCAGATTCAATTGGCAACTGTCAGCTTTAGCTACAGGAATATATAGCATTGTATTTTTCTTCAGTAATTTTAAGACAAAAGTTGTTGTATGTTTTTGCAGAAAACAGGAGAATGCACAGCTCAAGTTCATATGAATGATGCTGAAAAAAACAGTAATGTTTCGCAAGACTGCAAAATTTTTTCAGGTACGTAACTGTTTGGGGAAACATTCAACAAGTACATAGCCAAACAAGAATGGGAAAACTATAATGCTGAGACTTTCAGGTAATTTTAAAGGTAGGAGCTCCTTATCATTCTAGTCAGACACTTATAAAAAATCTTCCCCAAACAACTACAGGTTAAAGAGAAAATTCCACCTCACTGTTACACACACATAGGCCAAGTCAGTGAAGCACTGGAAGTTTCTATCTAGCGTAATGAAAACCAGCATGTGTAGTAACTTTCTTCAAACACTGGAACTCTACCAAGTTAAAATGAATTTGCTTAAGACCAAAAGCATATCACTAACTTAGACACTAGATACAACTTGTCACACTTTAATTTTCTGTCCTTACTTATTCAAGTATAACATTGTGCCAGAAATTATTAGAAAAAATCTTTGTATGAAAAAAATCATACCTTAATTTTATCCAAACTAAAATCTACTAAATTATTTGTAGTTTACCAAAACAAACGTTCATCCCAATTAAAAAAACAAAACAAAACAACACAACAAAAAAAAACCAACAAAAAAAACATTTACAAAATAAACTTCTAGAAGTGATGTAATTATATGAGGCTGTGATATCTTTTAGACCTTAACAATAAGCACTACAACATTTCTTGCCTATAAAACATTCATATATGACTATTATATTCACATAGAAATTGCCTTCATTAGAAGGGGATCACATTGTTTGAAAGCTTTGCAAGTGAGCTGTCTCTGTGCCTATGCCTAGTGTTCATGTAAGATATATACAAGCCAGTTTTACAATATGCATCTAAGTGGCAGTAGGGAATTAAGTGCATATTAATTACAGAAATATTTACCATGATTTCTGAGATGTTTGGCAGCTTACCTTTGCATTTTATTCCTAGTAATGTTGTTTAAATGGCTATACATACATCCAGTGTGCTTTTAGGAACTGCAGTACACACACACACACCAGGTTCTGCTACTGAATAAACGCTGCTCAGATTAGACCCATTTATTGGGCAATGGTGACATCTAGTTGCCAGTAAAAGGCATTTGATTCCCACAGATCAGGCACTGGGAACGCATATTTGAATCTTTGCTTAGAAGGCAAAAAAAATAGATAAATTAAATTAAGCATGTATTCAGCCTAAGAAGCTCATCTCTTCTTACTACATTATAGCAACTCAGAAAAAAGAACACATATTTATTCAGCACTTCTGAAAATGCTGTGATGACCACAGTCAGTCTAGAACTGGGTGTACTCTTGTTTTATTACTTTTTTTGTGACTACTTCCTGAAAATACAGTCACATTTTTCTGTAATGTGTATTTTTGTCATTACTGAGACAAAATTAGTGATGCTAGAAGTACAAAGGGCCAGACTTTGTACAAGTACTCCTTGAAAAATTAAGACTAAACAGTATTGCTTACACTGAGGTATTCCAAAGCAATAGGGAAGCCAAATCAAATCCAAAGGATTCAAACAGAGAGAGTGAAACAGTAGCCTAAGGGTCTAAGGACAGACTCAGTCTACCACAGTAGACTAAGGTGAGGTTCTTTGCCACCACATTAGGTACCACCATACTGTTCAGCCTTCTTGGTGGAACAGCTTGATCACACTGACCCTGGCCTGGTTTCCTGGCTGGTGCAAGCTGGCATAACTCCATTAAAGCCAGTTTATGCCAGCTGAGGATGAGGCACACGAATTTACTTCAATTCCACAGGGACTGCATACTGTCCCACTTTCATTCTCAAGCTCACTGAATCATGAAATTAATTTATGTACTGAACTATAAAATTAATTTATGAAAATCCAATCCATGATTACTAGGAAGGAAAAAGAGTGAATAGGATTAGTAGGAAGAAACAGAAGTTTGAGCATTCCCATCAAGCTTGTCTATCCGCAGCCAATCCAGTTGATTAAGCCTGAAGGTAACACCAAGTGGTAACTGGCAGCCACAGTGACTAGCAGGGGGAGTTCAGCCAGCACAGCAGTACAACAGTTCAGTACAGTCCCTAAGGAGCTCACAGTCAGAGCACCTCACATGGTTGTGTCAAAACACTCTTGCCAAGTTCTCCATCCTGAAACATGGTGAGGACAGTAAGCAGGTGCACATGGTGGGTGAGCTTTGAAAAATCTGAAGAACATCTCCTTAGTTGTATTATCCAGTGGTTATTCCCTGACTAAATGAAGGAAAGGCTTTTCCTTAGTGGTGTCAAAACTTTCTGCAAGGTTTTTCAGAGATTCAGTGACTCCTGAACTCACCCCTCTCAATTAAGTTTGCTGCTGAAATTATGCCTGGATCCAAATGTCATGGATGGCCCCTATCACCACAAATCAAAGTGTGTTTCTAAATACAATGAATGCCTTTGCAGGCCCTGAAAGGGAAATATGGGGTTTGCTGATCATTCCAATTAAAAGCAGGAAAGATTCCTGCTCATTGACCCTTTTCTCTCATTCCCAGACTGGAAAAATGGATACCTGAGGCTGTTCTGTATTAAGTCTTACATGTTTTTTTTGCTTCTTTTCCAGCAGCGCCAAGGGTAACAGTTGCTGAGGCTCCCTGTCTTGGATGCTTCCACCCTATATCAAGCGACAGTTCAGAAGTGTCAGAAATCCTGAAACAAGCCATTCAAAAGTTTAACAGGCACAGTGATGAACCCGCCCTTTTTAAGCTTGTGGAAATAAAAGAAGCTAAAAGACAGGTTTGTGTATGATTTCTCTCTAAATTTCATGAAAAAAAAAAAACAAAACCCAAAAAAACCCAACCAACCAAAACAAAACCCCAAACCAGGTACCTTGGTTGCTCTATATACACTTTTCTGATGTTAAGGTGGCTTCTATGTTGTAATAAAGGCATATGTGATGTATATGGACTGTAGACCCTGTAAATAATTCTCTTTGTGTATAAGGATTCTGAAAATCCCTGCTGGATTTTCAGAATTGTCAGCTTTACAGAATGACAGTAAACGTAATTTTTCTTGATCTGCAGTTGCAGCTAACCAGTGTTCAGCACCAGTTTATTTGCATTCAGAGCTGACATAGGCATCTCATGTCATCTCAGATGCTCTTGGGTATCCCACTTGGCCTCTCCCTAAAGCTCCAGCAGGAGCTCCTAAGTCCTGTGCCAAGACTGCCAGCCTGCACAGATGTCTCATATGCTCTACAGCCTCTCAAACAGCAGCAGGCATCTATGTTTTTGCAATGCAATAGGACCCATATGTCAGCAGCTGCTATATGCTATAAGATGGGTAAACCCTATAAAGGAAAAATGGGTAAGAAAAACAAAAGGCCAGCATGTCACTTGTTGAAAGATTTCTGCACACAGGAGTATCTGCTTTGCAAGAAATGACTGTTCAGGTTGCAGAAAATCCGTATCGTCTGGTGTTCCATGCATCAATTACTCCCCTGTGAAAGGCCCTCCTATGATTTGGTGTGACGTTGCTAGAAAGTCAAGTTTCTTCCTCGGTTTTTAACTAGCATATAACCTGACATCAAGTACAGGACCTTTGAATGTGTATGGATTTACTTAGTCAAAAAGCATTTTCTGGTCTCACGTGAATTTGACCCATGATTTAATTTGGACTGTCTTCATGTTTACTGACAGCAACGATCCTCTTAGCTGAAAGACGAGCTTACACAACATTTGAGCCACATGACAAAATGTCACAGACAAACTGCAATCCAGCAGCTGGAAAGAGAGCCATCATGTCACTTCTGGCCAACAAAGACTAGTCAGAGCCCTCCACTTCAAATAATCTGGAATGGAAAGTTCCTACATTTGACTCTGTTTTCCCTTTTTAATCCAATGCTACCTCACCCAGCACTGATTTTACGGGTAAGAAGCAGTAAACACAGTGAGAACTGAACTGCTTCCTGAAGAGAAAACAAAAAAAGGGTCACAAATCTGGACAAAACAGCAGGTGGGGGAAAGTAAAGCCCAAGGCAGATACAATTATAGGCCTATGATAAATGCAGGACATTCAATAACAAATGATGCCAGCAGTATAAAGTTACATTATTCAGATGCTCTTTTACTATGTCCCACACTCAGGAACATAGGACTTGCCAAGCTGTGTTAGTGTAGTCATCTATCTAGACCAGTCTTCTGTCACTGGGAATAATAAGTAACAGATACTTAGGAGGAAAGTGCAAGAAACCAAGTGTTATGAGGCTGCAGGCTTGCCAGGAGCAGTGGGATCCAGATCCAAAGTGCACTTGTAACATCTGCATGACTTAGTTTACTTTTTGTGTCACAGGACAAGATTCTCTTTTGCTGTCCACGAACACGCTATGGCTCAATGACTGCAAAGTGATTTGATGGATGGAAGGCACGACAATAATTCTGCTTTCCTAAGCTAACAGTTTAATTTCCAAGTTTGTATGGGTTTACATAACGTACCTCCTAAATATCTGTTGCAGGTGGTAGCTGGATGGAATTACATAATTAAATATGAAATAGAGGAGACTAATTGCTCCAAAGACCAATTTCAAGATTTAACTCCAGAGTGCAAAACCACTTCCAGAGGTGTAAGTAATCTTCAAAATATGTTTATCAAGAAAATATCATATTAACACATAAACGTTGAGATTTGACTCAAGAAAATATAGTCTTGCTTCACTTTGTGAATCAAGTTTAAATACAGGCTTATAGATAACTGTGTATTTATGCAATTAGAACACTGATGTCTTCTTCTGAATCAGTGACTAAGATGACCACTAAAACATTTACAGATTACTCTACAGAATCTGAACAGTCTCACTCAAATAATAAATCCCTGGAGAAGTTCCTATTCAGATATTCAAAGTATAAATCCAAAAAGCAATAATTAAAATTACCATCATTTTTCCAGCCTAAGACATATCTTCTAAGAAAAGTGAGTAGCTGAATTATTACTTAACCTCTACCATAGTCCAAAGAAGAGAACTTCAGAAGGAATTTATTAACAAACATGCACACTCCAGCTAAACAGTGCTGAAAAACCAGGTACTTCCACAGCTTCTCTGACCTGAAACAGAATTAACTGAAGCAAAAATAGAGGGTTGCTCTCTCAAGCAGCTCACCATGGGGCCAGACAAATACTCCTGCAAACACAAGATGGAAGGCAGGAAT